CTGACAATTCGTTGTTCAACGAGCGCCAGAGTTCGTATCCGGCACTTGCTCCCATTTGTTTCACCTCGATGAGATGCACCAAATCTTGCCCACGTTGGAACTTGCTCATGGACTGACGAAGCAAAAACCAAAGTTTGGTTGACCGGGCTGCTTTCCCGGCTTCAAGCCTCACTTGCAAGACTTCCACATTGCTACTGATCGCTTCTTGCAATTCCGTAGCGTAGCGGTCGTCGAGCAAACAAAGCCAACTCGTAAGTTCGTCTCTGTAGGCTGTCCAAACTCGGATTTCAGCATGTCTGCTCGTCATGGACGCATAGTTCAGCTGAGGCAACTGTGGAATGTAACCCTCTGCTCTCTTGTTTCGTACACCAGAGTCTACTTCCATGTCCACAGGAGTCGATGCATTCGCAGGTGCTGCTGAGGGGTCTCCTCCAGGTGTAGGACTCGTCGACGATGAAGCTGCAGCTGCTGCAATATGCGCATTGGCAGCATTCGCACTTGCAAGCTGCAATGCTTGCGTAAGCATGGCACTCATCTGTTGAAGTTGAGCTGCCTGCTGTCGGATCTGCTCGTCCTGCGCTTGCAGCATTGCTCTCGTGAACTCCATCTGTTGAGCTACTCCAGGTGCAACGGGCAACTGCATATTCGGAACTTGAAGGGGTTCTTGTGGTGCCGTCTGAGGGGGTGCTCCCATCTGGTAGAACTGAGGTCCAAACGAGGGCACAGCCCCGACTGGTGGCTGATGGCCTGCTCCAGTCGTAGCTGTCCACTGCCTTGGGTCTACTCTGCGTGGAACTGAAGCTGGTCGCGCTGGCAAAGACCTTCCACGTTCTCTTCTCCCACGGGCACTTGGTGACCTTGCACCAGCAAGCCCTGTGGAACTCAGGCTGCTTGCACTGCGGCCTCTTGGAGAACGGTCTCGTCCAGGCACACGTCTTCACCATTGTCCATGCGGAGCACGAGGCTCCGCGACCACGTTGAAACTCGTGGCACAGCTACGGGGGCCTAAGGGACCTCAGGTCAAGACTACACTCAACCCTCACAGCACGAAGTGCGGACTCTTTTCACTGCGCTGTTCACAGCTTCTCGAGCTCCGCTCGTCTTGAGCCAATGCGAGCACGGCTCTCCAGCTTCAATCACTGTCTGCGAGACATGGAAAAACAAAGGTACACCTCTTAGGTGCTCTGCTGAGCTCTGTGCAGACCTGAACTGGCTTGAGTCACTTCTGGTCACCAAATACCAGGTCACAAACAGGAAACGAGTTCCGACAAACGAGTTTCGAGAAAACGAACAGAAAACGGTTCTTCCCACTCAAAACAAGGTCTCACCAAGCCAAAAGAAATCTGCACTGCCTGACATGTCCTCGTGCCTGTGCTTCACACTCATAGCAGACAACTCAAGTGCACATCACGTGTCAACTGGGAAACTAGGAGGGTCACATATATCAACTAAACCATTGCGAGGGTTCTCATAAACCTGTTTTGAGTGCCTTGCAGCTGCCATTTTGCTTTTCAGCGTCTTGATAGCTGCCCACGGAGACCATCCGTACACGCAGGCCACGGAACTGTCCACGGACCCATTGTGCACGGATGTGTTTTTTAGGAACCCGAGGGAGGAAGGGAGGAAGCAGTGCGTTTTCGAGGCCTTCCAAAACGCACTTTGCTTGCAACTGGAGCTGCAACTGGAGGGTGGAAGGAAGCAGTGCGTTTTTCGAGGCCTTCCAAAACGCACTTTGCTTGCAATTGGAGCTGCAACTGGAGGGTCGGAGGAAGCAGTGCGTTTTCGAGACCTTCCAAAACGCACGGGGGAGGGGGGGGGGGGAGGAAGGGGGGGGGGGGGAGGGGGGGGAGAAGAGGGGGCAGGGGGAGGTGCGTTTTGCAGGCCCCCCAAAATGCACGGGGAGGGGAGAAACCCCTAGACCTCGGGAGGCTTTAGGGTTTCGGGTTCGGGTTTATGCACAGTGCTAATCGCCGAGAAAAAGAGCTCAGTGCTTTTGGCCACCGCCCTAAACGCACCAGAGCCCCTATCAGCATGTAATTCTGTGAAACGAGACCATAAGCCGGGCCACGCAGACCACGGAAACATCCACGCAGCCACCGGCCACGCATGTGGAAATGACACTTAGTAGCTGCCCCGTCCTGCCTCGTCGTCATGTTTCTATAACAGCCTGCCTCGATGTTGCCATCAAGCCAGCAAGGTTTTGAGATAAGAAACTTGAGACCTGCCTTCGATGTTGCCATTAAAACCAGCAGAGCTCTGAAATCAATAAACTGCAAACCTTAGCTTTTGTTGTCGAACGCCAGCAGGCTGGAGTGGGGATACTTGAGACACGGCCAGAAAAAAACCCAAATCAACACGCGAGAGAAAGGCTGATTTGCAAGATTTGCGTCGACGTGGGACATTGGCTTCTCTGGGCTTGTGTGCGCTTTTCCCTGTAATTCAACAAGTTCATTCTAAACCCTGAGCCTCTAAACCCCAAACCCGAGACCCTAGACCAGAAATCTGAGGCCATACGCAGTGTTGTGTGTATATGCCCAAATCCGAGTCTTCCCATAGATTCCGCCAGAACCGTGACGCGGGTCTCCTGAATAAATGTCCAAATTTTAGGTCGCAGGCACAAACGCAGGATTTTTCGCAGAGCCCAATTGCAGCGCCAATTGCGGCGCCATTTTCGAACCAATGTTCGGAGTGTGGGAACACTTGAGGCGGGTGTTGCAAACCCGAAGCAAGACAAGACGTGGAGAAAATACGAAAATGACTTGAAGCATGCTCGAAACTTGCACGAAACCGGCTCGATGTTTCATTTGCTGATTTTTGGCTTTTTTGCTGACTTTTGAAAAGAACGGGCGAATTTTGAAGAATGTGCACAAGTTTGCTTGGAAAATCACTTTACGTTCCTTAAAGAACAAATGCGAAAACAAAGAAAAAGAAATTGACACGAGACATGGCAAGCAAGAGAACTGATCCAGCTTGAAACCACCAGTTTTGCATCGAAGTGCTAGCAAAAATGAGCTTTCCAGGCGTCATAAGTCTCCCCATATGCTATTATTTGCACTCTCTCAAACTTTGTTTGCGCAACAAACGCCTGCAAAGATCCGCATTAACGGCAGAGCCAATCTGCAACGTTCCACTGGGCAAGTATGTCTAAGCTAAGGCTTCTGCATGCTGACACGGTGTGCATCGAGTGTTACTGACATGCGCAGCATAACGTTCTAATTGCCCGTCAGTTAACTTACTAAGCTTCAAAACAGCTGGGACCCAAACCCAGACATCAGTCAGCTGTTATGTTTGCAAGTATCAGGCAACAGCGCAGCCGTTGTGGACTTTGGCTAGGCTAATTGTAAGGCCGGATTGTGACAGATAAGATGGAGCCTGTGAGACTGTTTAGCAAGGTTCTAACCTGACATCCCTTTGCCACTGCGGGTCTGTTATCTGTTCTTGACGAGGAGCATGTGATCCTGACCATCGATTGATAACTTCGGTTCGGTTCGAATAAGTGGCTACATAATGGTGGTTTTGAGAATCTGGCAGTGTTGCAATTTGCGATTCCTCGCATGCCCTGTCTGTGTGATTGCACCAGGACTTTTAACAACGACTTCGAACTGAGTGCGTGGGGTTACCTAGCAATTTAGCGCTTGTTTCTTCTGTTTCTTTGGTTCTTGGGTTGCGTGGTGTGTTTGGTGGGTTTGTGCGCGCTAAATTCGTTTCACCTGTTATGTCGAGCCCAACAAGACCGGCCTACTGCGCTACTAATGTAGTAAAGAGGCGTCAGTCCAAAAAAAACAGACTGTTTGCGAGGTTCGCTCTGGGCGTTTTTTCCCGAACATGCACAAACCAAGGCAACATGCACGCCTGCACTTGTCTTGCCGGAACCCAAAGGTAAGCACTAAGAACGCAGGGTTGTCCTTGACCCCCCCGCAACACGGACACAGTAACCTGAACGTCGAGCCTCAAACAAAAGCAAAACTGCAACCACACCCCGTTAAAGCATCGGCACAAAGGGCAACCAGATTTGTCTAAAGCAGCCAAGAGCTTCTCCCACTCGCCAAAGTGCTGCAAGCCAACAGTGAAACTTAACAACAAGCTGATTCTTGCTAACAGAAGATGTCCAAAAAGCAAACTATGCGGGAGTGCTCAAACTAAAGGCAACAACTGCACACGCAGAAGCCTCGTCATGCCTGGACCTTGCTTGGGCCTCCTTGTCTACTCGTACTTCTTGGCCGCCTTGAGCTTCTACTTGGCCCACCTGCTAAGCGAAGGCCGCTTAAAACCACTCTGCCTGTCGATTCCTCTCAGCGCTTTTCGAAGCAGAGGGCTTTTGGCTGCTTTAGGTTTCACGCGAATCTGGTTGCACCTCGTGTTGTTGTTTTCAAGGAAGTACCTCTGTGGCTCAGGTAAAGGTTTTACACACAAATCTGGTTTTCTGTTCCTGCTTTTTGAACCTGCGTTTGTTCTGAATGCTTGCAGTTAGGATCGAGGTAAGAGGGTCTGGCTCTCGGGCTGCAGTTGCTTTTGCGTGTAAGGCTTAGATTGCTTGGCCGCTCTGCTGTCGCAGTTTCGTTGGTGTGTTGTTTGTCTTGATTTGTCCAATGCTTCTCTTTGGTCTGTTATGAACGGCCAGCGTGTTCGCGAAAACATGAAACAAGGTAGGAACCTGCTAGTCGGTTTTCTTCCTCCTTGCCGATGTTCGGTTTGTTGTGATTGTCAATCCCTTGTGCAAGCCAGGACCTTTTGGCCATCCTCGACTCGACTGGGCACTCGGCTTCTGACCTGCTGGCCATCAAAGACCAGCTGCAACAACAGTTGTCTCGCAGCCTCCACACAGAGCCTGTGAACCCCAACGAAACATCCAAAGCATTTCTGTCGGAAGTCAGCACGATGTTGCAGCGCCACCATGAGCGGTGCTGGAAAAACGCGATGGGGCTTCCAGGTTGAGCGGTTGCTGAAAGGAGACGATGAATTCAGAGACTGTGATGTGCTTCGTGTGGGGCTGAACTTCAATGGCGGTTCTGGCGGCGGCGATGCTGATCGCACCGAAGCAGGTCATCTTATCAGTACTCAGAAGTTTTCCGAGCGGCAAACCATGGCCAGTCTTCTTTTTTGCGCGGGGACTCCTAGAATGCTCGCCAGACGCCGTCCGTCATAAGGTAGACTGGCTGAGGGGATTGACAACAAAGGAAGTGCTGGATGCCCTCTTTGCACGTGCCCACGAGGCAGATACTCGCATTCTGGTCGTTCATGTGGATGAGCTCGCCATGCTATTAAGCGAGAAAAGGCTTGGCTATACTGACAGCGATCTCAAAGGTTTTGTGAACAGCTTGGCTGACTACAACTGTGGGCAGAAGCCGCTGGGATTGGTGGTGCCGGTCATTACCCATACTTCGCCGGTGAACTGGGATCCAAAGCCAACTGGCATACCGCTCAAGCACATGAATCTTGGGGCCTTCAGTTTCAACCAGTCGCTACAGTTCTTTGAAGGCTCGCGAGGGAGACGTCTGCTGTTCGATGACATGTCCATGCCCTGCATGCATTAAGTGTGCTCAGTTCCCTGAGGCATCAATGTTACGGACCTGGACTCGCGGCGTGCGATTAGCGCCTGTGGTGGTCACGCAGCATTGCTGGCGGAGATGTGTTCATTCATGAAACGCTGGAGTGGTGGACTTGGTGCCCTGTTGACATGCAGTCGTCTTGAGCTCCACCGGAAAGCCGTCAAAGCAACGGGCATGTCCAAGGAAGACATCATATCATTGCTCAATGTCATCCTCTTGCAAGAAGTTGTCTCCGAAGGCAGAATTCTAGGCTATTCTCAGAGGGGTCTAATCCTCCTTGAGAGGGATGACGATAGGTATTGCGTTTCAGTCCCATACCCATACTTGTTGAACCTGCTGCAGTTGCTGGATCGACCAAAACGTTTCGAGCACCTGGAGTGGACTGGCAACACTCCAGCAAAGAACAGCTGGGCTACGAAGGCATTCGAAGCTCTCTGTGCCATTCGGATTGCCATCGAAATGAAGGGCTTCCCCTACGATTCGCCATGTGATCCTCAAAGTGTAGCGACCACATTCATAACAGACAAGCAGTCTCGTGTCTGCCTTGCAAAGAAACAGAACCAGGCAGGTGTGGACGCCATCGGGGTTCATCGTGATATGATGATTTTGTTGCAATGTAAATACCCAGAAATGGATTCCACAGTGCAAGAATGGAAGGAGGTCGAGCAGTTCATGAATTTCATAGAAAAAACGGGTGTGAACTGGACCAAGTCAGCAGGGTGCAACCAAATCCGTGCCATCTTTGCCACTGGGAGGGCACCGCGAGATTACACGTCCAAACGGCCAACTGAGCTTGAAGTTGACGGTGTGCATATCTCTTACACAGTCTATGCGAAGACCGAGAACCGAAAAGGCTGTGCAATCAGGACGATGCCGATCAGTACTTGGATTCCTGCAAGCATCATGTGCTTCTGACCGAGCAGAAATCATGCCTTGACCGTGGACCAAGGCCAAGACGAGGACAGATACGGTCAGATGAATTGCACAAGCGGGCCGTCGCAAAACTGGATGTGCTGTGCCTTCTGCGTCAAAAAGGATGCGGTTGTGGCATCTGGATCTGGCACTTGTTGTTGTTGAAGCGTGCTTCGATATAACTGCAAAGTGTCATATTGGTCCTATTTTCGTTGCACTGCGTTCCTACGACAAGAGGTTGTGGTGCCAGATGTTAGATTCTTTCAGATGGGTTTTGAAACTGAGATTCCTTTGCTGGTTGTGTGCAACTCTCATGTATACAAATGGCTGAGCAGTCTTAAGCGGGTTTGTCCGTTCAGACGGAGATGCTGGATGTTGTGTTGGGAATGACGTCCAAGTTTTATTGTGCTGTTGTTGAACCGGTTTTCATGCAAACCTTTTTGCTGTCGCTGCCGTTACCATGATTGGTTTCGGATCTTAGAATCTTGTTGCTTGTTTCCTCAGGGGGTACAGTAAGGCTGCACTCGCTGCAATCGTTCTCAAGTCGCCACAGCGTGAAATGTTCCACTTGCAATGCCGGAGTGTGACAAGACAGTTGGTTGTTCAGAGATCAGGTTGTGTCGACTTGTTGTGAATGAACGCGCATGGGTTGAACATCTGCCATCCACGTGGCAGCGCCGTGCAGAAGGCTCGCAGCACTTTGCATTGTGCCCAATATGACGCATTAGGATGTAAGGCTTGTAAGGTATTCAGGGTCAAGTTGACGTTGATAGGCCGGGAATGTGAGGGCGCACCGAGCTGCTGGATACACTTGGCAGTCATGACTCATGGTGGTACAAGGGTTGAAACTGTGTGGTCGTGTGTATACCCAACTCTGCGATTTGACCGGTCCAATGGATCTGCCACGAAACTGGTGATACAACAAAGAAAATGCCAGGCTGTCAGAGGCTCGTCCTCAGTGTGGCTGCTGGTTGGACGTGTGCTGGGCAGCAGGCGCAACCACGCGGTTTGGGGAGGGGGATTTTGCTTAGACACTTTGAGGCTTTGAATCCCATGTTGAAATCCCAAGCCTGTAGCTCTAATCCCAACGAAGCACCAACTGATGACTTTCCACAAAGTTCTTCAGCCTCTAGAGCTGCCTTGAGGTTGGACTACTGTGGCCTGTTCCCTTCACTTCTGGCCATCGACGCGCGGGTGGACGTGGACACCGGTGCTTGGAGCCTTTCAACTTGTGAGTTCTGGAGTGCGCCGTAGGATTCAGGGAAGCCCACCCTAGACCCCAAACCTGAAACCTTAAACCCGAAACCCTAAACCCTAAACCCTAAATCCCAAACCCTAAACCCCCCCGAAGCCTTGCAGTTGACCTGCAGGTGCTTGGCTGTGGCCTCACTGGGAGCTTTCGCCCTGGGTCCTCGCCGGGCAGGCGTGCGGGGAACTGTGGACCCTTTCTCTTGGGTACCCGCTGAGACATCTTGGGCTATGGGAAGTCCTCCCTGTAGCCCTAAACCCTGAACCCTAAACCCTAAACCCTAAACCCTAAACCCTAAACCCGAAACCCGAAACCCGAAACCCTAAACCCGAAACCCTAAACCCCAAACCCTAAACCCCAAACCCTTGACCCCAAATCCTGCGACCTTGAGATGCCTCTAACAATGGGAACCCTGAAGGGTAGAAACCGCACTCCGCTCTTCACACACACACACAGACTTGCTTTAAATGTTTATACATATACATATATGTGTATCTCTCTCTCTATATATATATATATGCGTGTGTGTATATGCATGTATGTATATATGTATGCATATATGTATATATACATACATGTATGTCTGCATATATGTATATGTATATGTATATGTATATGTATATGTATATGTATATGTATATGTATATGTATATGTATATGTATATGTATATGTATATGTATATGTATATGTATATGTATATATATATATATGCATATACATCCTGGAGTTTATAAGTCTATTTACAAGAGCTGCAGGCGCCCGCTTTGCAGCCCTGGGGGTCGCGTTGTAGCACTCGAGACGTGTCTTCAGCTCTGCAGTGCTGGCAGGCTGGCTGTCCGTGCCAAGAGCTGGTGGTTCCGCCGACGTTCCAGTGTCAAAATTTAAAGAAAAAGCTTCGATGTGAGTGTCTTGCTGGGGGGCTCTGCGAGACAGCCGGGAAGGTAGCATCCAGCTTCCAGCTGGTTGCTTCTGGGTGAGGGCACAGCAGGTACGACGGCCACATAGAGCTCCACCCCCACAGCGCCCAGGAAAGCAAGACACCAAAGGTTAGGTTTGCCCTGAAGGCCCGCGCGTGCCAAGCATTGCTTGAGCTGTTGAAGCTCAGGCGTCGCTTGCGCATTTGGGGCCTTCGGGACTTCAAAATTTCATCTGCGAAGACTTTCGTACCACGGGTTTTGACCCAAAAAGCTGGGTCTGGACGTGTGGTGGCGAGTTTCATTGGGACAGATTCCGGTCTTGTGCACTCCAGGTTCTTGCAAATCGATGGCACGTCCATCTGGACTCCGGCATTGCCGTGAAGTCAACGAAGCGGGTTTTGGGGACTTTGGGGACTTTGGGGACTTTGGGGACTTTGGGGACTTTGGGGCGCCTGGGGCACTTTGGGGACGTTGGGACTTTTTAACCGTCAAGAGCAAAAGCGCGGAGAATGCGAGGTGAGTCACGGCCAAGGTCTTTTTGTCTGCTCGACTCGGGTGAAGCTCACTGCATCACAGTGGCTTCCGGACACCGCGCTTCTCTGACACCCCCGTCATTCTGTTGAAGTGCTTTGAGCCTTTTTCTTGGGCATGTGTCTCGCTTAAAGTAGTCAGGATGCTTGTACGAATCGTGAGACTGTGCCCTTTTGCAACCTTGAGCTCCCGACTCTGAAGGGATTTCAGTCCTCAGGGCGCTTCGCAGAACAGAGGCGCCTCGTAAGGCCCTTGTGAGGTCCTAACTCCCAGTTGCGCGCACTGTAGGGCCAATGTCCTCAAGACCTTTCAGCTCCCTGGGCGGCGTCTACGAATTCGCGTTCCTGGTTCCTAGATTCCTAGGGTCTCGAACCCCATGGAGAAGAAGAATGGAAGGCCTCTGCTTGAACCGCCGGCCACCCCCAAGGCCCTAGATGTGATCGCAGAAGCGTCCTAAAGCCTCCTGAAGCCTCCTAGTCGCTTCTACCCTAAAAAGTTCCCCCTAAAGTCGAAGGCTTTCCTAAAGGGGCCGTTTGAAGCCCTAAGCTGGGGAGTTTGGGGCCAATGCCTTCCGGACTCAGGATAGCCGAGGCCTCTTTTCTGAGCCCCTCTCCCTCTCCCCCTTTTTTTTTTCTGCTCCCTTCGTGGCCTTCGAAAGAGAGAGAGCCGTGAGCTGAGTGAGCGCTCATCCGAGAGAGGCCCCAAGCCTCGGGACTTTCGGGGGGTCGCTCGGATGAGCTTGAGGCTTCCACGGAGCTCAGGGTTTCGTCGCCCGGCTGAGGGTCCGCAGGCATGGGGTGTAGCCGTCAGACTCAGTAAGAAGTTCAGGTTCTGGCTCGGGTGCTGGCCTTTGCTCTCCCCTAAACCCTGAGACTGTGCTCCCGAAGAATGAGCGGCCACACTCGAGAATTGTTTTCTGGGCGGGCCAAGATGGCAAGGCCCGAGGTCGTCGTAGGGATGCTGCATCTTCGCAGCAGCGCAGCCAGTGCTGTCGTTTTCAGGGCCACGGTCGAGTGCCTGCCGCGGAAGCCCGGCGCTTCTTGCACCTTTGCCCCTTCGGTACTCGGACCGAGCAGCCTCAGGCAGAGGCACAGACATGATCGGATGTTGCCCTGATGCTGAAGCCCTCTCACTGTCATCGCTCCCTGACTCCCTGACTCCCAAATCTCCAGCCATGAGCCGAACGCGAAGGCCAGGCACAGTCCGCATGTGAGGTGAAGCCGGCTACTCATGACTCATAAGGCACATCTTGCCACGACGCAGCCTTCACTGCCTTGTCTGCTCACGGCCACTTCTCTTCCACAATACCAGATTCAAGGACCGAACATGTGGTGTTTAAGTTTAAGGCCTGTTTAGGGAGGACTTAGGGAAGCCTACATTTCCAAGGGAAGGTCCTGGGCCAAGCTTCGCATGGCCACAAATGAGGCGTCGGAGAGCACCCTCCCGACTCCGGACATCAAACAGCCACTTCCTTTCCCCCTTTCCCCGATGTCGAAATTTTCTTGCGACCCTAACGACCCTACAAGCAGTACCTGCACAAAGCTAGATGGCCAAATCCAGTCAAGTAGAAAAGGGATGGCGACCTCTGAGACTTCCCTTCTTGCATCCTCAGCAATTTCCCAATTTCACGTTTCGCGCTCTGGGCTGGGCTTCGACTTTCTTCGACGGACTTTCAGCTTAGCCACGTTTAGGGCCTTCAGGGCACTGGAGCTCTTGCCTGTCAGTTTTCCCCGAGGGGAGTGGGAGAAGGTGCGTGGTGCACCTGCGCGACTCACCAGTCGCAGGCAGCAAGGTCTGGGCGGTGTGGACGATCTTGTGACTTGCGCGCGCACCGCCGCGACCACTTTTCTGGCCGACACTCCGATTGTTGCGATAGCTAAGGCTCGAGGCGGACACCACAAACACCCTTCTTACGAACAGTCTTTGAAAAATTGCAGGACCCGCGCGAAGTTTTCGTGTCGGCCCATCTTTTCTGAATGCAGAGTCTCTGTGCCTTCTGCAGGAGGTGCCGATCCGGTATGTGGTAACACGTGCATCTACTATGCATGCAAACAAAGCTTTACAATCCTTGGCCCGAGTGCCCTGGGCCCTTCGGGACATGGCTTTAGCAGCGGCGCCACCGTCGCCAGTGAGCTCGAGTAGTGCAGACTGCAGTCGTCCGAGCGTGCAAACTGGAGCTGGCATTTCTCTTTCGGAAATGCGTTTCGGCTTTGTGCCCTTAAAGCCGTAGAGGCGCGACTTGCGAATAAGATCTCTGGTGCCCTGAGGAGACCCCAGCCAGTGAGGGCTGCTGACCATTGACCTCGTTGATTTGGGTGGATGGGATGCCACAGAGGCCTGACGGCCTAGACAATGCATCGAGCCCAGGGATGGCATCAGCGCCGGCAGGTGCGTTTGCCTTACTTGTCTCCGGTGACGATGCGACGCGCTACAAAACCGAGCTAAGCAAGACCCTGGTCGAAGTTGTCTCGCAACGCGGCGACTCATTGCGATGCATCTTGTGCTCCCGCCCATGCGATGTTGCCCTAAAAGGGCCCTAAGGAAGCGCGGCCTTGGGCGAAAGCCCGGAGTCCTGGCATGTCCTGGCCCCATAAGCCTCGGAAGCCTCAGAAGCCTCCAAAGGGCTTGGGGCTGACTAGGTGAAAGCGCTGCCTCCTCGGTGCCGTGCTCCGCCTTTCCGGTACAACTCCAGCGTGGGCTTCGGGGATGGATGTGTTCTGGATTCTGGATTCGAGGGTCTTGCATCTCGGAGCCTGACGGAGCCGCTTCCTGCCGATCCTGACCACACGCTGCTGGGCTCTGGCACCGGCACATGGCAATGGCCAGCATTACGAGAGGCCGGCGTGTGAGTTGTCGATATCTGCCCGTGGGTCATCCGCGAGGTCAGCAAGCTGGTGCTACTGCCGGCAATGTGAGAAACCTTCCGTAGCTGCAACGTCGCCAACAAGATGTGCTTTAAGTCATCGCTTGTGTCCTGGATCTAGTTAGAGCGAGGACGCTCTTTCATATCTTTCATGCTTGCATGGGTTGATTGCCTGTAGTAAGACTCATAGCCAGACGCTCGACCTTTGTGCAAGGTGTTTTTGCTTCTCAGCTCTGAGCGTAGGAGCCACTTCTGGACGATTTGAGAGATCTTCCCTGCTTTGCAGTGCGTCAGCATCCAAGTTCAAGGCATCAGAGGATGGTGCGGCCGCCTTGCGCAAGGTGCGCACTCTGCGCACGGTGCGCGTTCTGCACGCGTTGCGCATTGCAAATGGGAGCTTTGGTTTGTCATCGCTGGGCCAGAGCTTTGGCTTGCGAGCCCGAGCCCATTGCTGTGAAGTTCGATTGCACATAGAGCCCGGTGGTGACACGCCCTTCTCAAGCGCTTGATTCTTCGGGCCTGGAGACCAGCTCTTATCACTGAAGGTTTCGCAGCCTTTCTGGCATGGGTGGCAGAAGAAAGGTTGTCGCGGTCAGGGCACTACAGAAAGCGGAGCCCCCGATTCCTTCACTCTGGGCAGGTCTGCGTTTCGGTCCCATTTGGAAACTTTGGCCTCGAGCTGCATGACATAAGTGAAGCAGGTGCGTCATGCGTGCAGGATGCATGCTGTTGTGGTACTGGAGATCGCCTGTCTGATGTGCCTGTACCTGCGACATTCCTTAAGTTTCCCTGCCCTCGCAAGAACCATACTGACTGTGCCCGTGACACCCTGCAATGTTGGGGGCTTCGCTTGCCAGCGTCTTCCCTTCGACCCAGAGCTTTCCCAGTGCTGGGCGCCGCACCAGCGGCAGCTGGTTCAGTTGCTCTCACCCCGCCTTGCGACTCTGCTCTCACGCTTTCAAAGCCCCTAACCCGTAACCCTTAACTCTAAACCCTAATCCCCTAAACCCTACACCCTGCCCACGTATCAAGCCCGAGCTAAGAGCTCAGGGTCGGGCTCCCATGGTGTTGTCACGTGCCAGATCTGGGGGGTCCAGTGTCTCCTCCTGTGAGCTCTAATGCTGCAATCTGCAATTTTTTAAACCCCAAGCCCCTGAACCCCTCAACTCGAAGCACCTGCAGCCGAATCTGTGGCAGATGAAAACCTTGTCGAAATGTACCTTTCCGGCCCCACACCGAAAACTTTAGATCCTAAAGTGGGTTGGTACAAAGCTAAGGGCCCCTTGTCGGGGGTCCTTTTGATGAGGGTGGCTTTCTTGCGATAGGCACCTCTACAATCGCCATGTGCGCTAGGCCCAAGATGGGGAAAGTTCTCAAGGTGGGGAGTACCTCTTCTGTGCTCCAAAGCTCTCGACTCCTTCTTATTGGAGGAGCTCCCAGAAAGAAGCACCTCACTTTGTGAGGGCATTTTTCAGCTTCAGGGTTTAGGTGCTGTGCGACAAAGGCGACGGTGAAGGGTTGCATCTCTTGTGGGAAGCTGCCCGCTTGGGAGATGCAACATGCTGAAGCTGGCTTGCTACCAGTAGTGGTTCTGTTCTACTTGTCATTCGCACATGCAGCCGCTAACATAGAGACACCAGGAACCGTCTCTCTCTCTCTGTCTCTCGCGTCCTTTGCTCACGTCTGTTACAGTTTGATACCCCTCGAGAGCTGGTGTCATCATTGCGCGAGGGGCGTTTGAGAGGCGTTTCCGCTGCGAAGCGCCGTTTTGGGGGGTTGGAGTCGTTTTCCCCGCATTTCGACTTCTAAGCTCCGGTGACTAGCCTATATTTCGCCAGCTCATGGGTTTCTGGAGACCGGCTTCTTGGGGGCCCCAGATGCCCGGCATCTGGGTGAGCGGTCGTTTAGTGCAGGGTATTCGGGATCTTTCGGCTATCCACTCCCGCAAACCTGAGTCCTGCACCTTGTCACGCCTCTTAGGATCCTCCCAGCGCTTGGGGTTCGACATCTCGATGAAGCGAGTGGGAGGTGCCCACCTTCGTCACGTTGCAGATCAAAAATGTCCTTTGCAGCAGTTTCCAAGGCATTCTGTCTGTCCTAAGCAACATTAAAGCCTTAAACCGCCTATTTTGTAAGCCCCGCTGATGCAGCCCGCAAGAGTACAAAACCCCTGCCATGTGACGTGCCATGGGCCTGCAGACATGACAAAAAGGGCGGGTAGGTTGGGCTGCAGAAGCCCCTCAACCCTAAATGGGTAGTTTCCGTATTTGGGGTCCCTTCTTTGGGTACCCATTGGAAGGCGGCAGCCCTTTTTTAAGGGATCCCAAACAGGACCCTATCTTCGGAAGCCCAAATCGGGTCGGGCTTAGGGACGGCTGGGACGGCCGGGGAGCCGCCGCAGGCGTCGCTAATGCCTACCCCTTGTTGACGCCACGGTTGCATGACCTTGCGCTTCACCAGGCCACCGTGGGGTCAGGTGCATGTGCCATCATAGGCCATGGCTTTGTCCTCCTAGAGGGCTTTAAAGGCGAGAGTTGGGTACCGATTGCTACATGCTCTGCGAGGTGCTCTTGAGATTTGGGGGCTCTGGCATGTGGCTCCCTGAGCAGCCACCACTCCTAAACTGTATCGAGCGTGCTTCCATGTGTGCCATGAGCTCCACGTCAGACGTTGCTTTGTGCGAGGGCTAGGGGTTCGTGAGGAGTTCTAAAGGTGTTTCCGGACATCTGCATCGTGAGCCTCCTTGCGCAGACATTGGCATCAGGCTTATCTTGTCCTCTGATGGCTAGGAGTTCGCGCGTCCACTTGGGCTTTCATGAAGCTCCACCTCCTCGGCAGGTAGGACACAGGCTGCAGGTTCGAACTCGTGAGGCCTTCTGCTTATGATTGCCCCACGAAGACGGTGACGGCCATGCTGAAGAGGCCAACGGTGAACATCATGCCGCCCAACATTCAGATTCAAGCTAAATAAGCATTTTGTTCTGGCCCAGAAAGCCTTCGGCTACATGCTGAAGCCTTTGCACCCCGTCACGGTCTCGTGTTTCGACAGGTTTTGCTGTCACACAGGACCTTGAGGGACTTTTCCATGTCTTTAGATTCCGGTCTATCTGGCAGCGAGCTTTGTTATTTGTTGCTGAATTGTGAATGAACGAGGAATGTCAGACTGGTTGCACAGCTTGGACGACAACCAATCGTTTGATGGATGCCGACAGTGCAAAGGCAACGTACACTTCAAGAGGTCACCAGGACATGGTGCCCTCTTGCAAACGCATGAGTCTGGCTTTCTTGGGCATGTTCTCATTGACCACCCGATGTTCATGAACGTCCTGCACACGTGAGCCGCAACTGCCTAGCTTCTTGTGGCCGAGATCCAGTCATTCTCCTCGCCGTGCCAGGGCTTGGCTTGCTACGCACAGACCGAAGCATCGCCTGTCCCCGACCCTTAAAAATTCCAGGCCAGCACCAACATCCCCAGAGATGCCCAGACACATCCCAAGCGCATGCGGCTTGTAAAAGCCAAGGCTGAAAGGCAGCTCAGGAGCGACAGAAGCCAAGCCAAGCGCCTGCTTGCGTGGGGTGTTTCTAGGGCGCCATAAGCGTGTTCATGGGTTAATCCGAGTGCAGGCCGAGGACTAGGGCTGGACCTCCACCTCACGGCAGCGTGAGTCTCTGTGACATACTGGCCCTTTCTTCCGAAGTCTGACCTCTTCAGGGTCGCTTAACAGCCTGGCTCTGCCTTGCAGGCTGCAAAATACGCTCTTTGGTCCACCTGAACTTAGTGCCAGGCACACACAAGGCTGAGCTTTGGCAGAATTGCGAGCTTTGGCGAGAGGTGAACCTTGGAGTGACTCGTACTCCGTCTTCGTGACCCCGTCGGCGTGCACGTGGACCTTGTGCATCCTGGCCGTCCTGGTTTATCTTCCGGCCTCTCTGCGATAGTGAGGAGTGTCCGTCTCCATCCCCTCCAGGCCGTCAGGGGTCCCAGGGCCCTCAGGGCCTTCAGGATTCCTAGGGTTCCAGCGGTCCTCAGCGTCCAGGAGTTGCGTCTGTCCTGGGCAAGGTGCGAGCCGACGTCGGAGGGGATGGGGGCTTGCACAAGTTGAGCTCCCGCGTGGGCTGCCTCAGGAGCCTGCCGAGGCTTCTGTTGATCGTCGGCCTGCGCTTCGCAAGGTGGGGGTTTGAGGTGCAGCCACCTGGAAAACCTCCCCCCCCTGCAAGGCCAAGCACAAGAGTCACAAGAGTGGAGTGAGTAGAACGGGGGTGCCCGTTGTCCTCCACC